CCAGCCTCTGCCCATCTCCGTGGCTCCTCTGGCCCCACTCCAGCAGCTCCGTGTCTGTCCTGTGCTGAGGGCTCAGAGCTGGGTGCAGCACTGCAGGGGGGTCTCACCAGAGCGGAGCAGAGGGGGAGAATCCCCTCAACCTGCTGGTCACACTGCTGGTGATGCCGCTTTCTTCCACTGTTTATTTTTTATTTCGTCTTTCTTTTGAACAAGGTCAAAGTTGGAACTTTGCTTTTGGATGCAGATCAGTTTTAGACTGGAGCAGGTTCAGGTTATTTGTTAAGTCCCTCAAAGAAGGAGGTCAAAGGAAGGAGAACTAAAGCAGCACTGAGATCCCATGGGATGGTCTTCAGAGGTCTGCAGAGGGGATGTTAGTTAAAGTTTGACACTCACAAGCTGATGTCACAGGTGTTTACCTGCTACCTTTTTGGTGTCTTCCTGAGACTATAAACCTGCTCATGATGCTCCATGCACTGAGTCACGGGTCTCTGGCATCTGGAGCTGTCTGGATCCACCTAGCTGGGAATCACCTGGCATCCTGTACTTAAGCAAATTCACTGGTCTGGTGGAGGCTAGGTTAGTGGAGCAATGTCATTTTACTTTTCAGGAATTTTACCAGAAAAGCTTCATTAAAAAAGAAAGCTTATCAAACTACCTGGTGCATACGCTAAAGACAGAAAGTGTTTTGTATCTTAGCAGGAGTTGTGAAAACGTTGCATTTATTTTGCTGAACACTTCATTGCCAGCCGCAAAGCACAGCTCCCTCTAGCACTGTGCGTTCTAGCAAACATCTGTCTATCCTATAAAATTGAATCAGCCTAAATTTCATCTGACTGTGCAGGGGAATGTGTGCAGTGATGCCTATTTTGAGTGCTTGGCTGGATCTTTTTTTCCTTAACTTCACAGTTTGCCGTCAGGGTTGATGGATGTTGACACTCATGTTAGAAGGCAGTATCTGAGCGTCCTGCTGCTGGTTGGATGAGGTGCTCTGGAGGTCTGTGTTGACTGGCTTTGAGCAACCTGGGCTAGCGGGAGGTGTCCCTGCCCATGGCAGGGGGTTGGAACTCGATGATCTGTAAGGTCCCTTCCAGCCCAAACCGTTCTGTGATTCTATGATTCTGTGACTGTGGAGCTGTTGAAGCTTGCAAGGAGTCAAGGTGAAGGTGGGCAGAGGCAAAGGCAATTGCAGAGTTGGTGCTTTAGTACATTTTGCTGCTGAATGAGGCAGCGGAGACCTCCAGAAATACCCAGCAGTGCATTGTTTCTCTAACGATCACGTGGAGGCTGGGTATTGACATCTCCATCATCCTCGGTTGCTCAGCTTTTAAGTATTTTGCAGTAGGTGGTGAGTGACTGGCAGCAGGGTCTGAGCCAGCTCGGGTTGGGAACCAGCTGGCTCCACATGTGAGCGGTCGCACAGTGGAGCCTAACGGAGGAATGTTCTTGGTATCGCAGCGACTTGGGGGTGCGCTGGTGGTTCTTGGTGCTGCGGTAAGGGGGGTGCCCTGGCTGATCTGTGGAGGGGGATGCTGCTTTCCTGGTCTATCGGGAAGCTCTGGGAAAGTGGTAGTGTAGAAGATGGAAGCTCTCCCAGCAAACTTGGGCTACCAAACTTCAGGAGCTGAAGCTGCTCAGCATTTTGCTTATGGCCATTCCTTTTTATACTCAGATAAAACCCTGTCTATGCAGAGACATTGTTCTTTTCACTTATGATGAGTCTTCTTTGAGCATGTTGGCCCTGCAGGAAGATGGCGATCTGCCTGCCTGAAGCTCAGCTATTAATAATAAAGTATTTAAGCTGGAAATTTGCATTTCAGCAGCATCTTTAATTCATGGCTCTCCAAATGCATTACAGACATTGATTAACACAGCCTCACAACAGCCCTGTGAGGTAGGTGGATATGATCATCCCCACCGCCATGGGGACAACGAGGGCACCAAGGATAAGGGGCTTGGAGCAATCGTGCTGGGATTTGACCCAGGACTTGGCCATTTAAGTCCCATTAGGCCTTCAGCTTCAGATCGTGCTTTTCTAACGCACGGGTTTGGCTCAATGTGGGGCCACGCTGATTAACGAGCCTGTGACTGGCTGGCACAGACTATAAAGGCCAGTAATCTAAGGCAGCGGTTTATTAGCAAAGTAGACGGTGCCTTGGTGCTTCTTGCTGCTGGAATAATGGGAGTGTTTGAAGGCATATCAAAAATAGAGTTAGATATCACCCATTGGGCATGGCAGGCTGTAACTGGAGAAAGCCCTTAGGCTCCAGGTGGGGAAGCTATGTGGGATGCTTCTGTAAATGTGTTGACCAGAAAGGACATAATAATTTATATATAAAGTCCACCCTTGCTCTTTCCCCAAAAGAAAGAAAAAAAAAAAAAGAACCTAGAAAGTCACCGCTGGTTGTCATGTGTCAGCTTCAAGCTCTAGGCCCTTGGCTTCACAGCACCTGCAAAAAGAACAAAACCTGGTGCGTCAGCAGCCTGCTTGGGCTGGCAAAAGGAGTTAAGCAATGTGTTCTCTCAGACTCAATCCCAGCTTTAAAACGACTGAAAATGATGCGAACTACGTGTGTGGAATGGATCTGAGAGTGCTGATGGGGATGTGCTTCCACATCACCTCTGCAGCAGGAGTGGGTAACCTTGGACTGGAGGGCGAGACCTTGATTTCTCAGAGGCTGGCTTCTTTACCTCTTCGTTTAGTGACAAACCACTCCAGCTTTGGTGGCTGGCCCTAGGTGGTGGCACCTACATACGTGAGGTGTACTTGACAACTTTTTGTTCGGGCAGCTTGGATAAACCCGAGGTGGGCACCCAGGCTCACTGGAACCAGTTTGGTCCTTTAGGAGTTTGATGGCAGCTGGTTTATATTATCTTTCTGAAGGAATAATAGAGCAAAGAAATACCTCAAAGGCATGTTCCTATCCAGTAAGAGAAATAATCCCCAGCTAACTCTGTAAAAAGCAAGGCTTAAAGGGGAACCTTTTCTGACGATGGGTAACTCCTGCTGTTGTTCATGTTGATGTTCTTCATGGAGATCAGGGTGATGCTGTTCTCCTTCTGGCTTGTGCCGGCTGAGCAGCTGTCAGGAAGAGAAGGCAGCATGAACTACTCTGGAAAATGAGAAAAGGGAGTTTCTTTTCACACACCTGTAAGCGAACAGTCAAGGCTGTGGCTGGCTGGTACGTGGGACCAGGGTGGATTTGCACTGCCCTTGGAGCTGCTGTCCCGATTCAGGCCCGTCCTTAGCACCAAATTCCCCAGCCCTGTCTGAACACAGGTTCAGAGGTCTCTGGGGAAATGAGCAGTGTGTTCAGACAAATTTGGATGTGGCGCTGGTTTGCCCGACAGAAATCGCCGTTGTCACCTGTGTCACTACTTGTAGGGACAATCAAGGAGCAGTTTGGATCTGGTTCTCAGTGACTGAATTACCTTCCAGCCCTGCAGCCGTTGCCAGAACGGGAACAAAAGGAAGCGCTACCATGTCCCTCTGTCCTGTGCCCGTATCTGTCACACAACGGGAGCTCTGGATATTGACATCTGATGCTGCTGCTCATGTATTGCAGCGTCTCTCTTAAGAGTGAGAGTTGCAAGTGTTAGGAAGGTGGAGCTTCCCTTTCTCCCCACCCTGAGCGCTGGGCCATGCATTTAGTGCCTGTGGAGGCTGGATGGCTTTGAGGGGCACAGTCCTCTTTGTGATATGATCATTAAGGGTATTTGGGAACCATTGATATTGATGCAAATTTAGCACCTAAATACTTGGGGGCTTTGCTCCCTGTGTCCCTTGCTTCTTTCCAAAACAGAGTTTATTACTTTGGTAGGAAACTATCAGATGGAAAAATAGGAGCAACATGTTTTGGTTCCTTCCAGCTCTTGTTTTCTGTGACTTTCCCACATGCAGCCTCTCCTCTCGGGTAGCAGTGATGGAACATGGGGTTCATCCTCTGCTTGGTGCTTCTCTTCCGAAGGATTGGGGCCACCTTATTCTGCTCTTGCTAGGTAACAGCAATAGGCATCTCAGAAGATATTTTTGGGGACCTGATCTCATCTTGCTGGCTGCTTTGAAATCCAGAAACCCAAGTTTAGACCTCAAGTCTCTATCTAGGCAAAGAAGGACAATCAAACTGTTTTGGAAAGGTGATGAGTCTTCACAGCTATCAGTGCATCTTTGAAATTAGGGCCCTAAATATTGAACTTCTACCTTTGACTCTGCCAGGCAGACGATGAGGTGCTATCAACGCTCATTTTGGTTTTTTACCTGTCTCAAAGATGTCTTGAAATGCTTCCACCTCAAATAACCAAAGCAGCCTCTTTTCTTTGCTAAAATTAGTTCTGGAATAGAATTGGCATTTTCGATAGGATGTGAATAGTGTGAGCAGCCTTACCTCTCTGACACCATGGAGGCCCCTGGCTTCTGTTTGTCTGGAGGGAGAAAGGCAGTTGGTGACGTACGGGTTAGAAAACATCACAGCCAAGCAGTAAAACATCAGCTATATTCAGAATTACATTGTACAGGGTTATAAATGAAATCTAAATGAGATTAGAGACACCACGGGGGATACTTGAGAGTTGATTAGAGAAAATTCTTCAGCTAGTGTGACATAACGGGCAGGACTGATGCCTTCCTGCCTGTTGGTCACTATCATCCTTCAGTCTCTTGGCAGTCATCCGTCCTGCTGCAGAGCAGCCTTGCCCTCTAGTGGGCACTGCTTAGTGGGAAATGGGATTCCCAGGGAAAAGGACTCTTAAACTCCAAGATTTCTGCTGGAAGAGCTGCCCACCTCTGGAAATCTGCACATTGAACTGCAGCACACTCGGGATGTTTCCTTGCACGGATGGGTCTGGGCTGGGGCTCTAAAGAGCTGGTCACTCTACATTCCTGACTGCTGGTCTGTGTTCCAGTTTGGCTTCAAACCCTCCCCACTGGATAAGCTTTTTAAAAGCATCTTTTAGGAATTGCCAGAGCCATGTACAAACTGTTGACTTT